GTAGTAGTAGTAGTAGTCGCAGTAGCGATTGCAGTTGCGGTACTACTAGAAGCAGCAGCAGCAGTTGAAGTTGCAGTTGCAGCAGCAGTAATAGTTATAGTACAACATGGCAAATGCTAGTAGCAGTAAACACACACACACACATAAAGTAGCGTTTTATCTCACATCACATTAGGATCGACTTTGCATTCTTGCCGTTATTGCCATGATCATTCTCAATGCTGAAACATGTCCGGACACCCAAAGGCCCAAATGCTAGCACTGGATTTCTCGAACTCACAGGTCAGAGCTCTGCACTGGCCGCGCGCTGCGGCCGCTCCTGATTCAGTTTACAAGGATTGAAAAGGAACCCTAAGCTCGATTGTATTCTGAGTGCAGGACTGCCATGCATTTGTTTGAGGGTTTGTGTGAGCCGCGGGCCTTGAGTGAATAGCTTCTAAAGTTCAGGTTCGATCTTGGAGCTGGACATGGTAGTCACTAGTCCTCGTAATACTTAGTGGCGAGCTTTGATATGAGTGAAGATTAAGTGCATGCACAAATCCAGAAACCACTGTTGGAAACAACCCTATGCCACACAATCAGAACCACAAGCGCAGCAGCAAAACACAGGGATTCTGCAATTTCACGACCGCCTCTTACGGTAAGTGCGAACATGAGCAGCTGGCAGCGCAACACATACTGTGGTTGTTGCCCGCACTATGGCCTTCGTCACGGGGAGGTGGATGACTGCTTGTCGTAGTAGTTGCTGAATTGCTGATCGAACTACTAGATTCTACCACGGCCGCTGCACTTTTACTCTTAGTCTTACGCTTAGCCTTGCTCCTATTGCTCTTATCCTGAGTCTTGTGCTTGCACTGACGAGTATTCCTGCTGTCCTACTCCTTCTCACTCTTACTCGTACCCTCACTCTCCCGCCATCTAAATAATGCTTCCTTGCTTGCTTGCTTGCTTGCTTGCTTGTTATCGCGACTATTCCAGTTCTTCGTGCTACAAAGCTCCGATTCTTGATGGGGCCTGCTGCGCTGGCGCCATTTGGAGCTGTGGACGAACTGTTTCGGCCTGCCGGCGAGAAGTTTCCAAACTCACGCTGCATGCTGCCTTTCTGACTCTTTGGGATGTGACAGCTTTCAGCCCGAAAACAGAGTGCATAAGGTCGACGATCAAGTGCCGCTAGTGGGTGCTTGGGTGAAGCGAACCGGGCCCGGCCCGAAGGGCCCGAAGGCCACCAAGAAGAGACCTCCTCATTGGTGGGATTATACTACAGTATAGTATAGTCTATTATATTATACTATACTATATTATCTTATACAATATAATATAATACTATAGTATATTATATTTGCATCTGCTCCCAAGCAGTCCCACAACGAAAGAAGGCTGCAAAGGCTCCTATGGCCTACAGACTGACCCATCGGCGCTTGCGCTCCATGTGATCACAACGAGCAGGGACTTAGAAAGAACAAGTTGATACCTGGTGTCGAGACATTGATCGAGACCCTCGGTTGAAGACAGACAGTACGTCAGAACAGTAAACCTACCAGGTAAATACCATGACACAAAACGTTTTCAGTCATCTTAGGAAGAAGAAGGTCACAAGCGGCCCTGGAGCCATAGAGCCCTACCAATCCTAAACCCTCAGCAAGAAATCCCTCTCCGGACGTTCCGACCTCGGCTTGGTCAACGGTTGACACGTAAGCGGAACCTTTTGCTCGGCTTGCCGCATGAGGCTTCGAGAGAAGGTTTAGGGTAGGGGGGTTCAGGGATTGGGGCTAAGGTTGGAAACTGTCATCATCAACAGCAAAAGCTGCAAAACCACAAGCAGGAGGATTATGGAACTTTGGGGCTAGGACTTTCAGGAACATTCAGACTCAGATTTGTTTCCGGGCATGGAATCGGGTTTAAGCCCTTTAATGATACAGAAGAGTATCGGGTCTACAGAACCCCTAAAGCCTAACCTTACAGCCCGTACTCGCCATCCGTGTCGCCCAGGGGTCCAACACTGGGTAATTCGGGGTTCTCCGGGTTGTCGGTCTCACCGGCCTGGGCTTACGGCATCTGCGAGAAAAAAGGACGCCTGAACCCCAAACATCAACAAATGGCCATCCGATCATCCCGCATTCCGCCCACCTCAGCCTCTCCTCCCAAGAACTGCAGCCTCAGAAGAGGCCTTGGAGTTACTGCGACTAACCTCAGATCTGCGCCCTCACCCCAAAACTGTAAAGGCTCCTGTAGACCACCATCAGAACACATCTAAGGCTCACAATACCTCCTAGTACCAAAAGACTGATTTCTGATTCTTCTGGTAAAACCCCAAGCGCCGAACCCTTAACCTTCAAACCCTCAATCTGTGCGATGCGCCGTCAGCCACATGGCTAAAACCTTGAACCCTGAAACCTCCAAGCTGCAAGTACCAGAAACCCCCAAAAGGCCCTCAACCATGAGCCACACCCCGGGTAAAACTCAGTGCCCCAAGAAGAAGAAGAAGCAGAGCTTTTTGAATCGCTAAGCCAAGCGACTCTCATCTCCACTGCTTGGCGGTGGGCCGCCGTGGTCGCAAACCCCACTTGGCTCCTACACTGGCGTTGGTTCGGGCATAGGGTCTACATTGTGTAGGGCCAGGTCCGCAGCGCTAAATCGTGTGTGACCCAAGTCCTGCGTCAAGTGTCAGGAAAGGATTCTCTTGGGCCTGTACAGAGAAACGATCTCCTAGCTGTGCTATGTCAACTCACGGAGACCCTCCAATTCAAAAGGCGCCCCAAGAAGGAATGCAGAGAGTTGCTAAAGGCCAAGAACAAAAACGGCCAGGTTGAGGCCCCCCACCCCCTGAACTCGCGAGATCCCTGAAGCTTGGCGCCCACGCCAACGTCAGGGTTCCTCTACAAAATGTTAAGTGCCCTGAAGCTTATAAGGGCCTTCCACTCTAAAGCTATCCTCTGCAATGTCCAGCTGCCATCGAACCTGGCGGGGACGGAGCAGTTAGGAAAAAGACGAGCGATGGGTTTCTGCACCAGCGGCACTGCTTTTGGGTTTGGGCCTTTGGGCTTCAGGCTAGCTGTATGGGTATTGAAGAACATCAATCCTTCCCAAACCTCGAGTCTCACACCTTTCTCCAAGATCCAGGACCCAACCCTGCTAACCTATGATGATTAAATCACATTAAGCAAAGGCCGCTTTAGCTCCACAAACGCTAGTGCCCCCCGCAGAGGCACCCAGTCTATGTCCGCTATCCCCAGGACAGTCTCCGACCAGAGTTAGATTCATGGCTCGACAGGCTTTAGGTGGGCGTTCAGGAACATTGGGTAGAAGGGTTGAGGGGCCTTCAGGATGTAATGTTTAGGGAGACAGGACAGGAGGTTTACCGTTTGAGGGTTGGGCGTGGCATGATAGTAGTGCCGATGGAAACTTGAGGCCCGAGTGTGATGAGGAAATGCATCGACTTTCACGGTCAAGTTAGATGAAGCTGCAACCACAAGCACAGCCTGAACTGCAACAACAGCAACAGCAGCATTGCATCAACAGCAACGCCACGACGCAAAACCAACAACAGCATCAGCGACAAACGCCAACAGCAACGACAGTAATAGCCACACTACGACCGGGACGCCTGTTGTAGCTGCTGGAGCAGCTTGCCGCGCTCCACCTCCGATTGTCGGAGCTGGCGTACTAAGGCCTCGCAGCAAGACATGCCGAAATCAGAGTTTAGGGCTTAGGGCCTCGTGTTCTTTTACTTGTATACGGCTCCAGGGTTCCGAAGGGAGGGGTTGCTCACCTCTCTCGAATGGTATCTGGAGGAGCGGGATGCCCTTATATCCAGCAAGCCTGGGCACAACCTGACTTATCACATCTTCCGGATCCACCCGGATCAGTCTCGTGTCGGAGCGCCTTGTTGGCCTCCCGAAGCCGCCGCACCTCGGATCTGCGGTTCGTGTACGGGTTTACGGTCAAGCGACGGTTCACGTAGGGTTTACGTCTTATAGGTTTCAGGGTTTATAGTCTTAGTTGGTTTACGCTCTCACAACTCGGACAGGCCAGGCGAGGTTCTAGGTGCGAAGTCGGCGTGAAACGGGAAAAAGAACCCCCATCAGAAAAGACCAACTCCACAGCACCGGATGCTAAGACCCTTACCTCAAAAAGCCCAGCAGGGGTTCCTTAGGGTTTCGGCTTGCTGGGCCCATACAGGCACTCTTTATGCCGGACCATTGCCTTTCTACGGCGATTGTCTATGCACTGCATAATCGTGTGCCACGTTTTCACTAGCCGAGTTTAAGCTAAGCAGCTAAGCCCTAGAAGCCGGATGTAGAACTTCGAAGAATGCATGTGCCATGTGGCACCAACAAATCTTCGCAATGCCGAGTACCCTCAGCTGCTACGTCTCAATCCTGCACCCCCCAAAGGCCTGCAACCCAAGCCGCCTCATCGCCCATGTTGGCGTTCATGGCTTGCTTTTCCAGAAGATCGGTCTGCGAGGGGTTGCGGACGGACGTGACGGCACGCCAGCCAAGCCCAATCCCTGAACTTAGACGCCAAAGCCACCAACACTCTTTTCATACATTCCTGTTTCTTGGTGGGTGGTCCGGGACCGTCCTGAAAAGGTTCCAGGCATGAATGGGAAACGACGTGTATGGCCAAGCCTTAGCCGGTCACCATTGTGCAGTGCACTCGAAACCACCCTGTCGAAAAGATGCTGTTTCGCGGCACACTCCCCCTACAGGCCCTTCAGTCCACGCTTGGACCGCCTGCAGCACTTGCGCCGCTTCTTCGAAGCTTCTCCCAGCCATTTGATCCCTCCTTCGTAGGGCTTGGGAAACCGGCGGAGCTCTAGACGGGCTGTACACAGCTTCTTTGGCCCATGGCTTTGGGTTTAGGCTTAGGCAGCTCGCTTGCCAAATCCGTGGAACTGGCTCATCGTGAGAAGCTGGAATTTGATTCGAATCATCGTGACCCTCATCAGGATTTGCATCGCACTTCGACTAGTAGTAACATTCGACCATTTAGACATTACATCTACCAGGAACACTGAGGCTCCGTGCCTGAGTTCTGGCCGGTGAGCCAAGTAAGCTTCGATGGCCTTACTGGGTTCGCAATCTACGAATTTTAGGGGATTTTGCTCAACACTTTACACTTACAGGAGCCCTGTAGGGCAAGGTGACAGTGCAGTGAACAAGCCATTCAGGGATCACTAGCGTGAGTTGACAGAACTCATGCTGATGACCTTACCTATGGCAAAAAGCAGTTCAGGAGTATGAGGCTCGCTCTACGAACATGTGTGACATAACCTTGGCCAGTGACCTGACCTTACATTCTTGAAGCCTCAAGTCTAAACTACGGCTGTGACTAGGGTCTTGCAGCTACCCTTCCAGGCGATGTCGGCCCTGTCGGCAAGTCAGACTTGGTTCAGCGTCGCGAGGGCACAGAAATCTAGGGGGAGAAGGGGTGCCCAAGAGATGAAACCTGATTCATGACCTTCTGAAGCCCCACCCTAAACCCTGATACAGCTCCAAGTGCAACTCGGAAATTCGAAAGCGTCGAGCTAGGTCAACACGGATGTGTTAATCTAGGGGATTAGCCTGTTTAGTGTGGGTCTGTAGCATGCTGCCTGCTGACAGAGGCAGGCTAGAAGGGCCATCCCTAGTGTTGAACAAATGCGGATTGAGGTCGGGACCCGTTGCAAAGCCAACAGTGGCATGAGAGTTGTAGAGGGCAGCGCCAGACCTGCCGTGGCTTTGCTTGTGTATCCCTTGTGAGTTGCACTGTTGCCACTGCGAACCTCAAGATTGCTGTGGCAACCATCCCCCACACTGCTGCGACACCGACCTCGCCCCCACCATGAAGACTGTCGAATCTCGCTGCGATTCGTGTCAGAAGTGGCGTGTGGTTTCATGAACGGTTCTGCATCTGCAACCGCGGTCAAAAGTCCCACGTGTAAGGGGGCACCTTGCACTCGCTCGACGCTAGTACGGCCGATGGTCAGAAGTCGTAATCATCGTAGGAGGGTGATCGTAGTCATCGTTTTGACATCATCATCATCATCATCAAATAAACACCCTCATCCTCATCTTCAGTACCATTGTCATTGCCATCATCATCTGCCATGCCACCACCGGCATCACAACCACCATCCCCGTCCTCACCTGCCTCATCATCATCGCTCTCATCGTCAGCGGTGTCGGTACATGGAAGGTTGAATGCTTCGGCCTTGATCCTGTATTACGCACCCTTTTCGCCAGGAAACCCTGGTGAGCAAAGTAATGTTGACAAACAGCGGTTTGCACAGTCAAAGCTTCGCACCTGTGGTCGGCGACGTAATCTGCTGGTGGCTTTGCCGACGCTCGCGAAACCACCTTGCAAAGGGAACAGCCTGGTTGATCCACCGCAAGGGCAAGGCAGCTAATCCTCGAGTTGCAAACCGCCTCTCAATGTAGTCCCGCTCGTAAGCGCACCCGTCCACAGTGGCGACTGGGTCGGACCTGAGAAAACGATCGTTGGACGTGCATGATATGATGGTCAGAGGCTTCTGCTTCGATCTGGCGGGCTGATGGCAGGTTTCTGGCTTTTCAAGAAACGAGCATGCATGACATGCCTTCCGAACATAGTGAACTGGTTTGCCCCAAAATATTGTTTGGGCTAGACCCTCCCCCAAATGAAGGGGTACCTCCCGAATCCCAAACTCGTCACACAGTCTCGCTGGGCCCTTCAAGCCCTCAGTATTCACTGTCGATTCCCCGTTGCAATGCTCAGTCTGTCACATGATCGTCGCAGAAATCGGGCAAAAGAAGCCTCAGCTGCAGCAGCACTCAACATCCCGACAAGGCCTCCATGACGCTGTGGACCAGTTGAAATTCGTGCGGGTCTCCTCTGCAAGCCTTAGGCTCCTTGGATGTAACTGCGCTCTCGGACCCCAGCTCTCCGGCACTGGCATCAAACGAATGCCCTGGTCCTGCTGCCCGGTGTCGGGTTTCTTGAGCTAATCCGAATTTCTCGAGCCCCGGGGCACAAACTAACAGCCAATAGTATGATGAGGTCTAAGTAGCATTTTCATGACGTGAGCAATTCAAGCCAGAATTCGTGTCAAGAAGGCAGTGGGATCCGAGCTTCCTCAAATACCTGCTGGATTCGCGACTCCATTAGCGAACATGCTTCAGCCGCATGGTTCTATCAAGTTAGATGACGGCCAGGGGGCTCAATCTTTTTCCGCGCAAGGAAGCAATATCCATGATGACCCGAAATTCTATAGCCCGAAGGCAAACCGTTGAACCTCAAACGCCAAACTGGTTCAAGCAATGCGAGATGAGAAATGAAGGCATCTCACTGTTGGTTTACGACTCTGTATGAGGTTTCGTACGAAGATGCAAACTCCTGATCGCGGCCTCTATAAAGTCTGTTCGTCCGTAGAAAATCCTAAGCCCTAGACTCCAACTGAAGCTTGCAAATGCTTCGTGTTCTGTGCCGTCCTCATCCAGGAAATCCGCCTCGATACTGAAGTAGCCTCAGAAAGGCGATGTGCAGTCGGCGCTCTGATTCTGCTGCACTTCAGTGGCTAGGCCCGATTTTGGAGTCATTCCGCAGGTCACACAGTTACAAGCCGTCTTCAAGTTGTTTCGAATTCCCGGTCCCTGTAAGCCTAAGCAGCAAAGTTCTTTAGTGTTCCAGGGGCGGGATCAGGACTGCTCCATGACGACATCCTCAAGTAAACCACGTGCATCTCCTCTCAAAATGCAATCCAGCTCGCGCGCGGCACCCTCGCCCCATCTCTCGCCGTACTCAGCCTGCCCGATGCTGCACGAGAGCTGAGAGGCCTTAGCCCTAGCTGTTGGTGCATTGATGCATGTGCTTCCAAGGGTAGCTGTGCGGCACTCGGTCTCAAGTTGCCATGGGAGACTGCCTACAACTGAGCAGAAGGCTCTGGAGGACATGTCCGCGAGCCAACGTGATCTGGATGATGGCTAGTATTGTATGGCCAAACGAAGGATGATGATGATATCAGTGATATCTGTTGCCGCCATGGAAGCGCAAACACATTCTTCATAATGACTGATTGATTGGTTGATTGATTGTCTGTGTGTGCGAACACTCTTGCATTTGCAAGGCACTGACAACAGCTCTGCGACTACGAAGCAGAGGCAGCAGAGACACAGTAGGACTATAGGACTAGGAAAGCAAAGGCGCGAGACGGCCCTGCGCACCAAAGAAGTGAACATTCAACATGTAGAAATGATAGCAGCGGCATCCGAGCCCTCAACATGCGAGCGTAGAGATCGACTGCTCCTGTAGTTGGAACCCAACGAGAGAAGATTGCAGCTGCCTGACGGCCCTGCCGTGCTGCGGCATGGTAATTCCTGGGCTGAGGAGGGCCTGGAACCGAAACTCTCCCCTCGGGGCTCTTAAGATGAAAAGTTGCAGGTCAAGACTGAAACATTGCGAATCTTGAAGACAATCGCGATACAGTGTAGAAGCTCTAATCTTACAGATATGTGACGATTGAGCCAAGGTTGGTAAGTGCGAGCAATCATCAAGCATCCAGGACCTAGAGCCTTTCATGGTAGGTGGAGCTTTCACTGCTCTTTGGGGATCTTTTGGGATGCCGGGGCAGTCGGCTCATGCATTTCTGGAAGGATGGCCCCTTGGATCATACACCGAAGTTATCAAACACAAGAAAAGAGCCAAACTTCCAAACGCTTCCAGTAAGCCTCGTCAGATGAGCAAAATGAGCCCGATCCCAAGACAGGGGCCTAAGCTGCTTGGATCACGAGGCTTTATGGACCTGTGCGCGTGGCTCAACATCTTCAATCTCGACACCTTCGGCCTAAAACAGCGCGCCGCCAAGAGGCAAAGGCTCGGCGGCCAGTGGCACAGCAGTGTCCATGGACCCGCCTCTGCTTGAAAGGTCATAGACAGTTCTACGAGGATATATTCGGGGCTTCGTCTTTTTCGCTGTTTGTTCAGAGCTCCTTCTTACTGCAGCATCTTCGCAACCCGGGGTTCGGGGCTTATTGCACCTCTTGGCTTTGGCATGGTGAACTAATGGCACGAGTGACAGCGAAGACTTTCTTCGTACCGACGCTAAACATGTTGATATTGCTGTAGCTGAAAGCAGTACTTGCAAAAGCAGCAAGAGCATGACTACCTCGCCCAACTCCAAGTCCAACAGAAATATAGACAGCATATGCTACTGAGCCCCGAGGCTTCGTAAGCCCCAAGGCCCCCCAAGAGTCTCCTCTCGAGAAGGCTTAGATTTGAAGCACTCTGGCATGACGGACTTTTTTTTACTGACTGCTTTAGCTTATTCAGGACTTTTAGGGTTTAAAGGGCTTAGATTGAAGGGCTTTTTGCTTGGATCTCCATCTGTATGCCAGGGACAGCATTCAATTGATTTGTTTTTCTTGATAATGGCAGCCCCCAGACCCCTTTTGTCGACATGAGTCCTTATGCCAAACACGTCAAAGCTGACCCCTGCCTTCGCAGCTGGACTTAGACTGTGTGGACTTGAACATGCAAAGCCAGGCATCCACATCCGAGGAAGCTGTGAAATTAAGAAGTGCGGTTCAGCCGACTTCCCCCATGTCCGCCACTACGTACCACCAACCGTTGCCAATGCAGTTCCAGTCGACGACGACGACTGCTACGACTGCTTTTGCTACCACTACGACTACGACTGCCTTCCCTACCACGACCATCATCAACGGTCAGTCTCCTGGCGTTTGTGAATGTGTATGGTGTTGGGGCACAAGCTGGCTCTCTGAATCGCAGCCATCTTCGGCGTCGATGCAGAAACGAGTCCTCGCTTGTTCACAGACATGTTCGTGGGTCATCGAACTAAACTATGAACCCCCCGGTTTAGGAGCAGCAATGTAGACAATATCAGCCTAGAACACGAAGGATAAACAAACGGACGGCTTTGCAGGTGACCTGTCCACTTGCCGTGGCGATGAACTAACCGACCTACTATGCCTGAAACTGGAGCAAGTATAAGCCAATGTGCCAGCATGATTCCGGTCTCCGCTCTGCGGTTGAGGGTCACTTGTGAGGGTTTACGTTTACAGTTAGCTCTGCGAGGGTTCAGGATTTTGAAATCTGGATCTCGTGCAGTCTGTCCCGGTTGGCAACTGCAGCAACTGCAACAAACAACAACGGTGCGGACGGGAAGCAGCATCGTAGAAATCCTGATAGCCATACCATGACAGGAAAATGCCGCAAATACAAGCAGGAGCCCACCCCGCAACCTTTCGAAACTCCTCGATCCTCGCGCAAGTCCCCTCTGCTTCTCCACAATTGGAAAAAGGCTTAACCGAAGCTACTAGTCCTTAGCCGGCAAGCACCGGAACTGACCAAAAGGCCATATAGCTTTGCAGGACATCTCTCGAACTCCTAAGACCCCTACACTCCAAGAGCCTAGGCCCCGGCAGCAAGACCGCACCATTTCAGAAGTATCATGCGGCCGACTCTGGGTCAAGGGTTTAAGGCTTAGGGTTCAGGGTTTAGGGTTGCGATGATGCGTTTCGGATCAGGATGTCTGGCTAGCTGGCTTTTGGTGGATGCTGAACTGTAAAGCCAGCGTCATGCTTTGGTTCATGGTCTCAGACAACCCAAATTGAAGATAGTAATCTTTTGAAGCTGTTTCTGCAGACTTGCATCTCAACTTGTTTTACTTAGGGGGGCCGCCTGGGAAACGTGCGATGCACGGTATGCAAACCTTGCTGGGGCTATTCTTTCGAGCTAAGTAGGAGCCTGGTAAAGGCAACTCCTGCAACCATTGGCTAGACCCGAGCCGAAGTGAGCGAGGTTCAGCAGCATGTTTGGACAGGACGGGCGGACGAAGAAACGCTTGTCATCATGAGAGTAGCAGTAACAGCAAGGACATAATGACCGTGACAACCAATGAACCTCGAGCTCCTTGAATCTACTTGGAGAAAGAGTGTGTCTGTCTGTCTGTCTGTCTGTCTGTCTGTCTGTCTGTCTGTCTGTCTGTCTGTCTGTCTGCTGTCTGTCTGTCTGTCTGTCTGTCTGTCTGTCTGTCTGTCTGTCTGTCTGTCTGTCTGTATGTCTGTCTGTCTGTCTGTTGTCTCTGTGTGTCTGTCCGTCTCTCTGTCTGTCTGTCT